GGAGTGCTGTCAGCACTATTATTACGCGGACGCGTATGATACTCCGCTGAGGCGAGTGAAATTATGCTGCAGTGAAAGTGATGTTCAGAGAAACTGCAGCCAAGTGCTAACACTGTCGCTGATAGCGTCTAAATTACGGGGCCGCAAAAGTACCAGGCGCGGACGCGGAGCAAATTCCGCTAAGGGCGAGATAGAGAATTAGAGACCTTGCAATATGAGCTCAAATGAGGAACGCGGTCCGCGAACATTTCACGCGGCCATGATAGAAGCCAACGCTGACGCGGTACACTTTACGCTGTCCGTGAAACCCAGCCCAATCCCAGCCCAAAATTCAAGAAACACGGTCGGCGCTTATTTTTGCGCGACCGCGAAAGTCCATGCACTGAGGCGCCCAATATTTCGCTGACAGCGGAACCTCAGTAGGGGTATTTTTGTCCAGTAATTTCAGTTGTGTATAAATAGATCTTTTTCACATTTTTAGGTTATCATTTTTGTCTGAGGAGCTCGTGAACAATCGTATTTTACCACTTAGAGTAATTTTAGAGCAGCTTTAGCTATTATTCTTGTAATCAACTTTTATGACTTATATTTTATCTCCATCTTTGATTTCTACCTTGATTATGAGTAGCTAAACCCATTCGCTAGGGTTGTGACCCAACCCTAGTGTGGGTACTTAAACGGTCTTTAATTTTAGGGCTTTATTGTTTATGGGTTAGTGATATTTAGCTTGATTTATGCTTTAATTGTAGAATTGGTGGTTGCAAACACTGATTCATGCCTTTATGACTTAGACTCTTCTTGAGAAAGAGGGACTAAGTCTAGGAAATTCAGGCTAACAAGGAATTGGGTGCATTCAAGGGATTGATAGCCCCAATTAAAGGGTTAAACCTAGAGATAGTAATACCCGACTTGAGCCAATGTTGCTTGCATTGTTTGAACACCTAGTTGGGCTTGAGAAAGCTGATTAGGGCAAAGTCACTCAAACTACCGAGAGGTATAGAGTGAGTAATTATGTGTAGAGGTTATATCATGACCCCAAATATAACAAGCTTGTCCTAAATTCTAAACCCCGTTAGATACTCGCCTAGGTGTAAGTCACTTCCCTAGTGCTTTTTATCAACTGAGAAAACTCCTACAAAAACATTGTATTTAGATTATTTCAGCAATCAGTAGCATTAAAAGTAGAACAGAAACAAAACCAAGCATGGTTAGAAGTGCAATTAAAAGCAACACGTGTAGCTAGATTGGATAGAAACTCAACTCCCAACCAATATTAGCTCCTTGTGGATATCGATCCCGACCTTTCGGGTAAAATCTACATCGACCACTCCTTGCCATTATATAGTGGTGTAGGGTTGGAGCCGATCACTTTTTGGCGCCGTTCTCGGGGAGCTAAACGTTTTTGGCTATCTATCTGACTAAGTTGTGTGTCTTGTTTTTCTTTCCTTCTATTAGACAAACTTGTGTGAGTTAATTGATTCAGGTACAACATGGCAAATAATGATCCTATTGGAAATGTTATCCCGAGGGAGGAGGTAGATGATAATGTTGATGATGAGATGCCTCTAGTACCTCAAGCTCAAAGAAGAGGCCGCCAGGCCAGTGACAACATTCCAAACCCTCCCCCAGTTCCTCCGCGAGTAGCTCGGGTGCTTCCAAATGAAGGTTACGCAAGTGCAATTGTACCACCCCGGATCCGGGCGGGCAATTTCCAGATTACAAATGTTATGTTGACTTTATAGGAGCAAAGAGGGTACTTCACAGGCGCTCCCCATCAGAATGCATATAAACATCTAAAGGGTTTTGTGTATACCTGCTGTGGAAGCAAACAGAAAAATGTGTCGGAGGATGCATTGAGACTGAGCTTGTCCCTTTTCACTTAGAGGGAAAGCTTTGGACTGGCTCGAAAGACTTCCCAACCATTCCATCACCATGTGGGATGAGTTCGCCGACAAGTTTATAGCCAAGTTTTTCTCGCTGGGGCATATGGCGACATTGAGAGATGAGATCCTAGCCTTCAAACAGGAACCGAATGAACCACTTCATGAGATCTGGGAAAGGTATCGGACGATGGTGAAAGAATGTCCGAACAATGACATGACCAAAGCAATGATCCAGCAAACATTCTACTGTGGCATCAACACTACCAATCAGTGTGTAACCAGCTAGCAAGGGGAAACTTTATGAACACACCTTATGTTGAGGCGTGTGATATACTTGATGAGATGGCAGATACTTCCTCAGCGTGGTAAAGTCAAGGTAATGTGCCACAAGGTGATCCCAATGTCATTCACCTGCACAAAGAGCTCCATGACCACGGCCAAGCCATAGCAGAGTTGACTACAACAATGAACCAGTTGGCTAAAGCTCAATTGCAGCAAGTTCAAGCGCCAAAACAAGTGAACGCCATGGAAGGGGTAAATATGATGGTCAACAAGAGGCGACAAAGAGGTCAACAGTGTCAAGGAAATCCGGATCAATATGAGCAGGGTAGTAGTGGTTTCCACTAAAGGTGTTTAACGGGTGGGCCGGGCCGGGTCGGGCCTATATTTTTTGGACCCGTACGGGTTACGGTCCGGGCCGGTACGGGTTGTGTCTTAACGGGTTTAACGGGTTCGGGTTCATCCGGGTAAAAATTGAACCATAAGGGTTACGGGTTGAGGGGGCCGTGCCGGGTTTAGTATAATTTTAATTTATTTTTTTTGGATTTTGTATAAATATTGTAAGTTATAGTATTAATACAAAGTACTAACATAAAGAATACAAGGAAGATGGGGAAAAATTGCACTTATAAATTGCAAGTGCTATATTTATTTCAAAATTACAAAATTAAAGTTTGCATTTAAAAAGTAAACTAACAAATAAATAGTAAACTAAATTTTCATGCATAATAAATTAATAATACTTCAAATTAATCTAACAAACTAAATCATTAAGCATAAATACGTCTAATAATTTAAAATAATACAAATTGTCTTAAAATCTTAAAATAACACATATATAGCATATTTTAAAAATAATACGTTACCATCATATTCTATGATTTGAGCATTTATAGTTTTATACCCTAAATATATACACTATATGTTAAATTCCAACAATTTTAAATTATGTTAATTAGTATACAATAATTGGTATATTCATGGTATATTTATAGTATATTCATGGTATATTTATAGTATATTCATAGTATATTTATAGTATACTCACGGTATATTCATGTTATATTCACGTTCCGGGCCGGTCCGTGCTGGGCCGATTAACCGGTTTAACGGCACTGTTCATCTAACGGGTTTTACCGGGCTGGGTAACGCGTTTCAAAAATTTAAACCGTCCAAATCCACCCCAACCCCCTATCCCGCCCAGCCCAGCCCCCCTTACCGGTCCGGGCCGGTTCCGGAGCTGACCCGGCCTGTTTAACACCTTTAATTCAAATTTCGGATTTTGTCTAGAGAACAAGGATTGCGAACTCAAAATAGTGGAGTTTTTCTTATTTCCAACACTTCTTGCTTTGCATCTAATGCTGATAGAAATGTGAGGCAAGCAGACTTGCTATATTACGGGAAGCTGGAGGATATTATTGAACTTAATTATTATGGTTGGTTCAAGGTTGTGCTCTTCAAATGCTTGTGGGCTGACACTACTCGGGATAGGGGGTTCAAAAGAGATGTTTGGAATTTTAATTGTGTCAATTTTTCTAAATTGATTCACACCGGTGATCGCGAGGATCATGATCCTTACATTGAAGCATCTCAAGCATTTACTATGTTGATGATGAAAATGATGAAGGATGGAGTGTGGCTGTACATCTAAAGCCAAGAGATTTATTTGACATGGGAGAGGTTGATCTGGGAGAGGTTGATGAAGAAGAAGTATATGAGAACGAGCCATACCAGCAACAAGAATTTGAACAATTTTTTGATGTTGATTATGAAAATATCCAAATTGCAATAGAGGAGCATATGTCTGGATAGATATAGGCGATGCCTTTTTATTTTAGTTGTATGTTTTTGATAAATGAAATCAATAGCAGTGCCTTAAGACTTTATTCTTGTTTGCTCAATGAAGTTTTGTTTCATATATGATAGTTCAATGTTATATTATATGTATAACAGAATTTTGTTTATGTTTGTAGTTTCTTTTCTGTTATGCAATCTTAAATGACATATTTGCTATTATAACTTGTATGAATATCTTTAATATATGCAAGTAAGTGAGTCTTGATATATCATTAGGCATTTCTGTTATTGTAAGTTGGTTTGACATGAATCTATATCATATTAAGATTTTTGTTTGTATCACTTAATCTGAATGGAAGTTTCGATTAGTTTATATCAACATTTATTTAATTTGCTTATCTTTTGTGAATTACAGATATGCCGAAGACCAAGCGTTGGCAGAACTTGCAAAAGTCAATTCAGGGGAATGCACAACCAGCCCCGTCAGTTCAAGCAACAACAAAGTCGGCTTCGTCTGTTCCATCACAGTTCAGTTCGTCAATTCAGGCAACAACAAAGCTAGCTTCATCGGTTCAGGCCACATCACAGTTCGGTTCATCAGTTCAGGACACATCACAATTGGCTCCGTTGGTTCAGTCCGCATCACAGCCGACTTCGTCCTTTCAGTCCGCATCACAGCCGACTTCGTCCTTTCAGTCTGCATCATAGACGACTTCGTCCTTTCAGGCCGTACCGCAGCCGACTTTATCAGTTCAGGCCGTATCGCAGCCGACTTCATCAGTTTAGGTCGCATCGCACCCTGCACCATCCAGAAAGTGTATTCAACGTGAGTCGATGCAACATTGGACTGTAGATGCTATAGGTACACTTTCTTCTTCTCCTCTTCTTCTTCTTCTTCTTCTCTTCTTCTTCTCTTCTTCTTCTCCTTCTCTGCTAAAAGTCCCCAAAATGCTGCTATTTTTTTTTAAAATCTGACAATATAGGATAAGATAAGAAATCTATTCCTGTTTCCAATTATGGTATCAATCAGCTTTTTGTTGAATGGATAAGCAGAAAGCAAAAACAGCTAAAGATACTCCACACCTGTTATTAAGAAAAGGTGACTTCTTGCCGTTACCACACTGTTAAATGGATTGATGAATTTTAAGATCAGTGGCCTTAAGTAAGAATCAGAGTTGCTGTTTGTAAATGGGGTTTCTCTCTTTGAACTTTTCACAACACTAGTACTACTGTAAAGTAGCATATATATGTAATTATTTTTTTCTGTTTGTCTAAACTTGGCTTTTTTTTAATTAAAGATTCGGAAGAAAATAGGAAGAGGCTCAAAGTGAAAGTTAGGGATGTTCTAAATTTATCTGGTGAAGAACGTATCGTGCTTGAATTCGATTACCTGGACGAACCATTTGGAGAAGCACAAGGCCTTCTTGCTGGCTTTTGTGGAATTTTAGCAACTGACTGCTCCTTATTTCCAATTCACTTTGAGAAATGGCCATATTTACCTATATCATACTTTGACCATGTATTTGATCGAATTGTAAAGGTATAAGCTCTAATTCTTTCCGCTACACGTCTATTTTATTGTTGGACTTTTGCATGTAGCAGATAAGCTAACCAATGTTTTATTCTTGAAGAAACGGTTTTGTTTTAAGACAGTCGAGTCAGTTGCACGGCGTTATGTTTATAATTCTATTTGGAAAAAGTGGAGCGCGAATAGGCTAAACTTGTGGAGAGCATTCTATGATCCACTCAAAAGTAAAGCTCAGATTATGGAAAATATTCCGACTGGGATTCCACGGGATCAGTGGACTACATTTGTTGATTACCGTTTTAAAGAAGCAACTATGGTATTTATTTAATTACTTCAACTTGTATGTTTGATTATATTTAGTTATTTATGTGATTGACTTTCAAGTATTTTTTTTGTAAGGAAATGTGCAGAAGGAATACTAAAATTCGAAAGAAACAAAAATTTACACATACAGGTGGCTCCAAGCCTAACTCCAGAAGAAGGGCTGAAATGGTGAAAGATGTTAATTCATGTCATTTTACTTTAATTATTAAACTAACTTATGTAACTATTCCAGTTAAGTTATTTTATTGGTTATTTTATTTATAGATGGCTGAGACTAGACGAAGGCCTGGACGCGCACAACTTTATCTTGATACTCATAAGAAACAAGATGGAACATATGTGAATGAGGCGGCAAAGGAGATATGTGTAAGTTTCTTCTTATTTTTGTGATTGTTGAAGGTTATTTAATCTTTATGGGTCTGAAATCTAATTTATGTATATAGCAACATCAACATCACAAGGAACAAAAAGTTCTTCAGCTTTCTTGAAAAGTCCTCTTCTTCTCTTTGAGAAAGTTACTTGTCTTGTTGTTGCTTTATCAATTTTCTTAAGAAGTCTATTTATGTAGGGTTTTACTTAAGAACTCAAGTATGGCCAGAAAGTTGGTAAGTTTAACAAATATATTTTAACCAGATTTTTGATATTGGCAGTTGGGATCTGCTCATTTGCTGTTAAGGACCACTACATGTAATATTCAAAGCGAGAGAGAACATATTGCTTAATACGAGGCAAAACGTATAATGCCTGTGAGCTTAAGTGTTCACATTCTTGCCGCTGTGAGCTTTCTACTGTATGAGTTCCCATTGTCTTATAATGCCTGATCTTAGCTCCCCAATCCAATTTATAAGTGAATTTGGGTTACCTTGTTAAGTAGTAGCACCAGTTGCCTCTATCAAAAAAATGAAATGTGCATGCGTGGAGGTTAGATAAAAGGTAGATAAGGTTTATTAACTGGTAAGAATTTGTTGAATCATTCCATTGATTTCTGCCCGGAATCGCTTACATAATGATCCTGCTTCATGCTCCGTGTTAAATCCTTAACCAAGTGAAAAGGAATTGGCCCTGATTTCTTGGGTTCCCTGTAATACTTGCCAAGTACTGGCTTTGCTGCTTTGGTCTGCAACATATTTTAGAATCATCAGCAGCAGGTTTTAGTATGAGAATACTAGATAGTACAGTACAGTATTAATTTTAGAACAACATACCGCTTCTCTCAAGTCATAATGTGGTATCTGAGGAAATAGATGGTGGATAACATGTGTTCCAATGTCATGATGTATGCTGTTAAACAATCCGTAGTCTCTATCAACTGTGGTTAGTACTGTATGGACTGTGAAGTACCATATTTATGGTTTATAGAAATTCATGTGTCCGTATTTGAAATTTTCACTAGATTTGGCTCTATCTTAGTTATAAGGGCAAAAGGCCAGCAACTGTCCGGAGTTAGATCTAATGAGAGGGATAATGAGAGGGAGTAGACAACAGTTGAGGGACGGAACTGAAGAGTACAAGTTGAGCACATAGAGCAAATAATCAGACAGGCTTTAGGTTTTGAAATCAGACTCAGCAAAGATTCAGAAGAACAACATCTAGTGCATAAACAATCACACATTAATAAAACAAGTTTGCGGGTTTGGTATACACATACTCATGATAAAAAAAAGATTCAGATTATGTTAAGTGTGGATACTAGTGAGAATCATATTGACTGGCAGCAGAACTCAAGCAGGATGAAAGCAGGTCACTGCAAGAATTATGAAAGTAAGGCATGCTTAAGTGACAGGATTGCTACCAAAATCAAACACATAAAAAGAGGCTAAAATGCAAAGGTTCTAACCATCAGTAACACATAGGCTAGGCAAACTTAGAGAAAACTTAATTAACTTAGGTCCAGGCATGTTTTAAACTACAAACATAATGGATTTAGATTAGAAAGGCCTATCATTGAGTAATACAGTCAGAATTGCATACGAGAACATCCCAAAAAACGCATTAAGCTATGAACTTCAGAAGTGAAAGCACATGCGAGGTACAGATACATAGGGATGGAATTGCAAAGGGTTCAATAACTCACCAGTTAAGCAAAAACAAGAAAGAGCAAAGTCCACAGTAGCAAAACCCAGAATTTCTGGCCTTGTCCTTCAGCTGGCCAGGAATCAGAATATAGAACAAGAATATGAGACAACAAGAGTAGTAACTTCAGTTTTTAGTGAATGTTAATAATTCAGGTCTTGTCTTGAAGGGGAATAGGGAGGGGCTTATATAGTGACAGAGATCGAGCAAGTAAATAAGGAAAAGTGTAAATCAAAAACAAATAAGGAAGCAATCAGCATGCAGAATCAAAATAAAATCAGAAAAAATAAGTAAACCCTAATTTTAGGGAATCAAAAATGTTAATAGAATATTCGCACACAAAGATGAATAGAGACACAAATAGTACCAAAATCAGTGAATCGAACTAATTGGGAAACAAGATCTAAAAACCCTAACTTTTAAAGCAAGTGAAAAATCGGTAAAAAGGAAAATCAAACTCACACATAATAGGACAAATATAGACAAGATGACACTTAAAATCAAAGGCTTGAACCAATTTTGGTTCGATTTGAAGAAGATCTGTAAACCCTAGTTCAGGGTAAGTAAGAATCAACAGAAGAGATTCATACCATAAAAGAACAAGAACGAATATAGACGGCATAGCAGAAAAGTCAAGGATTTGAACCGACTTTGGTTTGATTCTGACGAGATTTGCTTGTCATGTTTAGGTAAGCAACTAGGTAACACAATAGACGAGTAACCACTAGCGAGAGGTGATCAATAAAGTAAGGGAATCAACGATTGACTCCATTTTTGAGTCAAAATCGGAGAGGATTAGGGGTTACAGCGCTAGGGTTTGCAGAGAGGAAGAGAGCGTTTGAGAGAGTTTAAGGGCGGTGGGCTATGGAGAGTGATTTAGGGTTATGGGGTTTGGTTAATTAAAAAGGGTAGGGGTAATATGGGCCGTTGATTTCAGAGATCAACGGCCACGATTAGTTGGGGGTTCTGGGTCGGGTTAGATTAATCGGTTGGACTGGGGGTTATTTGGTTTGGGCTCAGGAGCTATTGGGCTGGAGCTGGGTAGTTTAGGTCCGACATTAACGTAGAATTTGGGCTAGTTTTTAAATACCTAATATTTAATAAATAAATAATTTATAAAAGTAATTAATAAATATCAAAAAAATCATTTGTGCACTAAAATGATTAAAAGTAATTACTTAACATTATAAAAATATAAAAAGTCATTTTCTGCGTATATAATGTAATTATATATGCATATGGGCTATTATTGCAAAAATATGCAATTTAGCCTTAAAATGCAAATGTAATTATATAAATGCACTGAAAAATATTTAAACATTATGCTGGTATAAATGATGTTTAGATGATTAAATAATCATAAAGTAATTTGGAGAATAATTATTGGGTATTTATATATAATAAAATGCAGGAATAAATTGATTTAAAGCCCCTTAAAAATTATGAAAAATTATAAAAAATATTTGTGTATGCTTATTAATCAAATGATGATGCATATGCACTATTTTGAAAGTAAATGTATATATATTTAAAATATGAGGGAAAAATTGGGTATCAACACCAAGTATGGTATCACTCATAAAGTCACGACTACCTATCATCCACAAGCAAGCGGTCAAGTGGAACTCTCCAACGGGGAGATAAAGAGTATTTTGTCCATAACAGTGAATGCTAACCGGTCGGATTGGTCCAAGAAACTTGATGATGCTTATGGGCTTATAGGACGGCTTTCAAAACACCTATCGGGATGTCTCCATACCGGTTGGTGTTCGGAAAAGCTTTTCATCTTCCGGTGAAACTTGAGCACAAAGCCATGTGGGCTTTAAAGAAGTTAAATCTTGAGTGGGATGTTGCCGCCAACTTAAGGGTGGCATAATTGAATGAGTTGGATGAGTTTCGGTACCATGCATATACAAGTTCGTCCTTATACAAGGAGAAGATGAAGTACCTCCATGACAAGTACATTCGGAACAAGGAGTCTAAAGAAGGTGATCTTGTGTTGTTGTTCAATTCCGGAAAGTTAAATTCTAAATGGAGTGGCCCGTTTGAGGTTGTGGGTGTAACATCCTTTGGTGCATTGGACTTGAAGAATAAAAATGATGAGGTGTTTAGAGTCAATGGTCACTGGGTGAAGCATTATCTAGGAAAAGTTGGTGATGGCCACGTCGTGCCAGTAATTCATTTCAAGTGATGGTAATCTGCGTCGTGCCGCGACGTTAAATCAGGCGCTTCTTGGGAGGCAACCCATGTTTCTTTTTCTTTTTCTTTTTCTTTTTCTTTTTCTTTTTCTTTTTCTTCTTCTTTAGATAGGTCTTATTTTGTTCTAGCTGGTTTTGAAGTGTGTTGTATGATGAGTGTGCTTTACAGGGATTGTGCTCAGAAAATTGGCCAAGTACGGAAAAATTGCGGACCACACAATTTTGAACGCGACAATAGAAGGGATCTACGGCCGCACAATTCTTGTGCGGACCGCACAACTTGATATAAAAGATTGCACACTCTCTGAAGTTTGTTTGTCAGAGAAATGGCCATTGTGCGGCTGCACAAGGAAATCTGCGGTCCGCACTAGAATCTACGGTCGCACAAGGAATTCTGCGGACCGCAGATCATCAAAGGGTAATTAACCAACAGGTAACAGAGTGCGGACCGCACAAGGAATTATGCGGCCGCACTCGTCTCATGAAATTTTGGCCTAGTCCCGTAAGTATAAATAGTAGTCCTCATTCTACTGTTGAAACTTTACAAATTCTGAGAAATTAAACCACAAGCTAAAATCTTGCACAACTGATTCACTCATCTGCCACTTAATTCAACATCCTTGATTCTTCCTTAACACCACTTCATCACTGGTATGTCCAAATCATCTCTAGAAATTTTCAATTTTCTTAATTTAGTTTATAATTTGTTAAGTTATTTTTAGACCATTTGTCAAATCATATCCATGTGGGTTGTAGATTGTGTTGGGTAAACTCTTAGTTGCTATTAAGGGGAGTGGGGATTTGCTTATCATGGTTAATTGTTATTACCATGTCCAACTTGTGCGTAAAATAGAAACCCTAGAACTCTACCCGATTTAATTTTGAATTATGCGGCCGCACAAGGAACTATGCGGTCCGCAGATGTGTAGGTTAGGACATTTGGTATAGCAAGATTGTGTGGACTGCACTTGAAATTGTACGGTCTGCAAAAATTCAACCGCGACCGCAAAAAAAGTCTGTGCGACCGCAGATCAAGGAAATCTCTGTCTTTGGAGAGTTGCCACTTTTGAGGTATCCATTGTGCGGCCACACTCAAAATTGTGCGTTCCGCAGAGTCATCACTGCGGCCACACTTTCAAATTGTGCGGTCCGCACAACCCCATACGCGGTCGCACTTGCAATTGTGCGGACCGGACTTCCCCACCCTACATAATATTTTGTTCTGCGACTGTCTGCTATTCTGAACTTGATCTACAATTGACTCCTGTTGGTTTTTATTGCAGAAAATGGTTAGGTCTCGTGGACGTGGTGATACATCAAAGGGGAGAGGTGAACCCTCCCGAGGCCGAGGCAAGAGTACCTTACCACTCGCCTTATAAAGAACTATATCTAAAAAGTGTAAGGCCCCGGAAAATTTCGCTTAGTAACCTAGGATCTCGTGGTGCCACGTA